CAACTTTCGCGAATTGAAACTGATCAATGACAAATAGTTAGATGGTATAACTTAGAGAAAAAGAGCAACGATTCATAGGCAACGAAATAGAATAAAACGTGCGTAATGTATTTCAATATATGTACATTGAATATGAAGTAATGATATAGATCTTTATTTAAATCTAAAGACGACTTCACACGTCGTACAATAAATCAAATACAATAGTAATAATAATAATACTACCTTCCAACTGTAACTCTCACTCTCACGTTAACTTTCTCTCGACGTTTTTTTCTATCTCTTTTGATATGCATTCATTATTCTTCGTCATAAAATGAAATAAACGTTGAGTATAAACAAGGTCTGAATTAAAAGTGACAAGAAGATTATCGTAAAGAAATACATAAAGGATAGATAAACGAAATATATGAAGGATGAATGAAAGAGATATATGAAGGATAGATAAACGATATATATAAAGGATGTGTGCGTGTGAATGTGGGAGTATATGTGGATACTCGATACTAACACACACCCACACTCACCCTCGAGAATGACGTGTATCGATAATCTAAAGAAACGAAAATGAAGTATGTGGGTTTGATTGTATCTTTCTTATACTCACACCCACACCTTCATCTCCAAATATGCGATGAATAGAAGTAAGTGACAAAGAATCATCTATCAATTCAAATAAAATCATAAATTGTCAATTTTTTTTTTGAAATAGTTTGATGAATAAAAGCGCTAGAACAAACATTCAATTCTTTTATTTGTTTATATAATTTTCTAATGAATGAAGATTTTTTCTAATTATGTCTCATAATGAATTGATTATGGAGGAAAACTTGTTAACGGATGCAAATTTATTATTAAAAAAGAAAATATCATTAAATGATTTAAATAATATATTTGTAAATGTTATTCAAAAACAATATTATCTTTTTAAAAATATTTTAGAAGAAAAATCTCAATATATTGAAAAGGTTCTTAATCAAATTGTTGAAAATGAAAATTTATTATTTGAAAAATTTCTAAAAATTTCTTTAAAATCAAAGAAAAAAAAACGAAAACAAGAAATATTTTTTAGTTCAAAAAATCGAATAAAACAAATAAAAAGTTCAATTAATGATATTATTAATACAGTTAGTCAAAATTCATTTCGAATTTATTCAAATGATCAAGATATTTTAAAAATCTATTGGCGTTCATGTTCATCTAATGATACTCATTTTAATAATAATAATATCAACAAATTTCCTTTCTTTGATTCTTCTTTACCATATCAATGGAATTTTCCAAAATTAGAAAAAATAAAGCGTCATTCAATAATCATTTAAAATAATATTTTTCTTTATTTCTCAAATAGTATCTTTATTAGTTTCATCAATAAAAATAAATTGTATACTTTATTCGAACATTAAAATAGAGAATATATGGAAAATGAATGATATTGATAACTTGATGCTATTTTAAATTTGAATTATACTTGTATCGTACAAATATCAAAGAATTTATCAATAAAAAATTTCGTTTATTTAATATTAAATAATTACAGGTTTAAAAGATATTTATTGATATAAATGATCGTATTCATAGATTGATAATAAACGAAAATATTTCGATCATTGATTTATTGAGTACGACATGGAATACCTTGAGATTGTTGATGAGCATCATCATCTTCATCATCTTCTTCTGTATTATCTTGATGATCATTTTGAAAGTTCTCTTCTGTAATATCATATTTTGTCATTTGAACTGATTCAGAAAGTTCGTTACTATTCAATTTAATTTGTTTCTTCGATGGAAGAATAGATTGTAATTGCTACAGAAATTATTAAGAAAAATATAAATAAAATAAAATAAATGAATAATTTACTTTCGATTGATTTTCAGTTAAATGAAAATTTTCATCTGGAAATTTAACATCAAATTGAATAATTAAATCTCCATGTGAATGTGTATTTCTATT